CCCCTGCAGGCTCGCTGCAGCACCATAGGAACTGCTAGACACACCCTGTGCAAGCAAGCCTCCTGCCCATACAGGGAGACTCTGCTACTGGATTTGAGCCTAGGTGTTCAGACACTGGGAGGCTGTTTCCTGCAGTGTGCAATCATGCAATCAGACCACACAGCCACATAGGGTAGCTGTGCTGCCTGAATTTGAGCCTGGGCATGCAGACTCTGGGAGACTGTTTCCCACAATGTGAACTCATGTGACCAGACCAGGCAGTAGTGCCACCTGATTTTGATTCTGGAAAAACACACATGGAATTCTGTTTTCCACATTGCAGGAGAGTGTACTTCATCCCAACATAGGATGACTGTGCAACCTGGTCCTCCAAACAGTCCAGGGACACTGATTCTTTGTACCATAGGCAGCACTGAGCACCAGTGACTGACAAAATCCAACACCATTTCTTGATAAAAACTCTCAGCAAGGTGGGAATAGAAGGATCATACCTCAACATAATAAAAGCCATATATGACAAACCCAGAGCCAATATTATACCCAATTGGCAAAAACTAAACAATGTCCCCAAAGAATGGGAGCAAGACAAGGATGCCCACTCTCACAACTCCTGTTTGCATGGTACTGGCAGTGCTAGCTATTGTGATCAGATAAGAAGAAATAAAAGGCATCTAAGTTGGGGGGGGAAGAAGTAAAACTGTCCTTATTTATAGATGACATGATATTGAATATTGAAAATCTCAGATTCCATAAAAAAACAAACTACTAAATAAATGAATTTGGCAATATAGCAGGATACAAAATTAACACCCAGAAGTCTATGGCTTTTACATACACCAATAATGAACTCACAGAAAGAGAAATTTAAAAAATAATCCCACTTACTATTCTAACAAAAAAAATTAAGATACCTAGGCATAAACTTACCTGAGGAGACAAAGGACCTGTACTCAGAAAATTTCTGGGTACTAAAAAAAGAGATAGAGAAAGACATGAACAATGGAAGAATATACTATGTTCATGGATTTGTAGAATTAATCTCATTAAAATGTCTGTACTACCCAACGCAATCTATAAATTCAACGCAATCCCATTAAAATACCAATAGCATACTTTAAAGACCTAGAAAAAAAGTCTCCAAAAATCCATCTAGAATAAAAAAAGACCCCAAATAGTTACAGCAATCTTGAGAAAAAAGAATAATGTTAGAATTATCACAATACCAGATATCAAGCTATACTACAAAGCCAATGTTCTCAAAACTGCCTGATACTGGCACAAGAAAAGACTTATAGACCAGTGGAACAGAACAGAGAACACAGAAATAAACACAAGACATAATGCTCAATTGCTATTTGACAAAGGATACAAGAGCATACAGTGGAGACAAGACAGTCTTTTTAATAAGAGCTTTTGGGAAATCTGGACAGATACTTGAAAAAAAAAAAAGGAAAAGAAAGAAACTAGCCCACAAACTTATACCATTCACAAAAAGAAATTCAAAATGGATGAAGGACTTAAAAATGTAAGACAGGAAATCATAAAAATCCTAGAATAAGCCATAGACAGCAAAATAGCAGACATTTGTATAGCAATATTTTTACCGATAGAGCTCCTAGGGCAATGGAAACTAAAGAGAAAATAAACTAACTGGGATTACATCAAAATAAAAAGCTTCTGCACAGCAAAAGAAACAATCAACAAAACAACAATAAAGCCCACTGCATGGGAGAACATATTTGTATGGGAGAACTTACTTGCCAATGTTATTTCCAATAAGGGTTTAATTTCCAATATTTACCATGAACTCATACAACTTAACAAAAGTAAGATAACCAATCCAATCAAATATTGGCCAAAGGACCTAAATAGACACTTTAAAAGAGGACATACAGTAGGCCAGGAGACATATGAAAGCATGCTCAAAGTCACTAATCATCCTAGAGATACAAATTAAAATAACAATGAGTACCATCTCACACCTGTCAGAATGGCTATCATCAACAAGTCAACAAAAGTCAAGTGCTGGAGAGGATTCAGAGAAAAAGGAACTATCTTTCACTGCTGGTGGGAATGCAGACTGGTGCAGGCACTGTGGAAAAACAGTATGATGTTTCCTTAAAAAATTAAAAATGAAACTGCCATTTGACCCAGAATACCACTTCTTGGAATATATCCCAAGAAAACAGAAACACCAATCATAAGGGATATATGCACTCCTATGTTCATAGCAGCACAATTTACAATAGCTAAGATATGGAAATGCCTAATGCCTATCAGCAGATGAATAGATTAAAAAACTGTGGTACATCTACACAATGGAATACTATGCTTCTCTGAAAAAGAAGGAATTGTTACCATTTGCCACAGCATGGATGGGACTGGAAAGCATTATGCTAAGCAAAATTAGCTGGTCAGTGAAAGATAAATACCACATGATCTTACTCATTTATGGATAATAAAGAACATTATCAACTGTTGAACAAAAATAGAGGCAAAGTAGCATTGAACATACTGTCAAACTATAGCGAGAAGGTAACAGAGGTTTGGAGCGGGGTAAGAGATCAACCAACAGACACAAGACACTGGGGAGGAGGTGAGGGCAAGTGCCAGGAGGGTAGGGGAGCTTAAGGGAAGTCAAAGGGAGGGGGAAGGAGACATTTGTACTACTATTTGTAATACCTTAAAGAATAAAATAAACTTGCTGTAAACTATGATGTAGATTTTTTAATAAACAAAACAATTAAATACCTTATAAAATTAAACTTTTATTTGCATAAAATATAAAATACAATTTAAAAAACAAATAAACCTTCTCAAAAACAAACATAAAACCGTGCTTCTCCTACCTTTGCTTTATCTATATTGACTCTTTTACATGGAAGAATTCAATAAATGTTTGTTCAGTTGACTTGTCTATAAAACTTCAGATGCAGAAAATAAATAAATTCATTCTAGCAACTCCAGCCAAATATATAACTTTTAGATTTTTTTTGAAAAGTGATATTTAAAAAGTTTTGTTATATAATTAATTTTTGGCTTGTGATATTTCCCCTTAAATATAACCTATATAGAAATTATGCACTTAAATTATGGGTTATATTTGGGTTCCTTCAGTTATTGAACAAAAATGCATTGGTACCTAACATGTGCCAGGCACATGTTTAAGCTCTGGAAGCCCAATAGAAAGCAAGACAGATGGACTCAGGGTCTAGTCAAATGATATAGAGAGACTAATAGATGTACAATTTAATGTCAGTTATATATGCCATGAAGAAAAATGAAGAATACAGGGAGTAAAGAGTAATTGGGGCTACTGTTTAGAATGGTAGATAAGGCTCTTTTGAGGTGAGAAGGAAGTGAGGTGAGACCAGACATATAGATGTCTTGTAGAAAGGTATTTTTAGCAGAGGAAACAGCAAGTGCTTTTCTTGAAGCAAGAGTATGCTTAGCATACTCCAGAATGTAAAGAGGCTAATGAGGCTGAAATATTATGAACTTAGAAAAGATAAAAAAGATATAAGATTAGAATTGTGGGGAGCTTACAGCTAAGTCATACAGAGGGTTTTTTTGTTTGTTTGTTTTTGTTTGTTTTTTTTGGTCATGGTAAAAATTATGGGTTTGATGAGGAGTCATTGGAGGGTTTTGAGTAGAGTAATATTATCTGATTTATGTTTTTTAAAATATCTTTGGTTATCATGTGGAGAATTAACTGGGAAATGGGCACAATTGGAAGCAGGAGGATCATTTAGATAGCTGTTGTAATAATCCAGGTGAGCTATAATGATGGTTTATATCAGAGCTATAACAAGGATGTAACAAAAAGTATACCAGCCCTAGCCAGTTTGGCTCAGTGGATAGAGCTTTGGCCTATGAACTGAAGGGCCCTGGTTCGATTCCCAATTAGAGCACATGCCTGAGTTGCAGGCTTGATCCCCAGTGTGGGGTGTACAGGAGGCAGCTGGTCAGTGATTTTCTCTCACTGATATTTCTTTTTTTTCAATATTAAAAAGTATTTCTTCAAATATTTTTTTAAAATTAAACTCACTTAGAATCCCACCACCCAGGAGTAATCAATATTAATATTTTCTCTTTATTTTGTATTGTTTAAAGTATTACATATGTCTCCTTTTCCCCTGATTGAATCCCTGTCAACCCTGCCCCCCAGAAAAAGCCCCCACTGCCCCAGTGTTCCTGTCATCATTGATATTTCTATCTCTACCTCTCTCTTCCTCTCTGAAATCAATTAAATATATTTAAAAACAGAAGTGCACTAATTCTGGACATGTTCTGGAAGTAGAGGCAACAGGATTGTCCAACAATTTGAATACTAGAGCTTATAAAAAAAATCTCAAGGATGATTCCAAGGTTGTCAGCCTGAAAAACTATTAATATGTCATTTATGGAAATGAGACAAACCATGGGAAGCAAAGGTAACAGGATAGAGACAGAGTACAGAATTTAGTTAGGCCATGTTAAGTTTGAGATGCTCATACGACGTCCAAGTTGGATTTGTGAGTCTAGAGTTCATAGTTGAGAATGGCACTGGATATACAATATTGGGGGCCATTGTCATATCAAGGGTATTTACAGTCATAGGAACAAATAGGGGAGTCTGAATAGAGAAGGAAAGAAGTGTCAAACTTGGCTAGAGCACTCCAACATTAAGAGAATAATAGGAGGAAGATTCAGCAAAGGAGCTTGAGAGGCTATAGACAAGGGGGTGAAAGTAAAACCTAAATAGTGCAGTTTATAGAAGACAAATGAAGAAAGAGTTTTGATATGGAAGGAGAGATGAGCTGTATCAATAGAACTATGCATTACCCACTGAATTTGGACATGTTAAAAACTATTGGGCTTCAGGGCTGATGACTTTGAAAAATCAATAATTAAGAATTGCAAGACCATTTTTTACTTCTGGACCTTTTGAGTTTTCCTTTTTATCTTTCCCTAGATAGCCAATTCATCTCTAATTGCTTTTAAAATTTTCAATATTACAGAAAATAAAAGACAACTTGCAACAAATCTCAGGTCGGATTGACATCATTCACAATAAGAAGACAGGAGCATTGCAGAATGCTACACCTGCAGAAAGGGCAGAGATCCAGGAAGCTCTCTCATGGCTGGATTTCCAATGGGAAAGAATTAACAAAATGTACAAGGATCGCCAAGGGTAGGTGACACTTTTATTTTACTAAGTGATTATATCTGTTCTCAGGGAACTCTAAAATTCATTTCAAAGATCTCCATTGGTAAAATATATATATATATATATATATATATATATATATATATATATATATATTTATATATAGTATCACTATCACTAGAAAAATGTAAGTGGAGTGAGAATGATGATTAGTTCATACTAATGTGTTGAATTCCAGAAATTGTTCTATACTGAGTTAGCATTATTTCGGAGCACTGTATTATCTGCTAAAATCCTGGTAGTGTCAAAACAAGTTTGGTAATTTAATTGAGTTGGTGTAAACAACTGTATAATATAAAGTATATATCTTTGGTCAAATTTTTATCCTATATATTAATGTATTTTATACTTAGATTAAGATGTTTGAAATGTAAGCTATCAACAAAAAGTTGATTTTCATTTATTGTTTTTGTTTTGAAGGCATTATTTTATGTTTTGAAGCCCCCCCACACACACACTTATTTTTTTGCTGCCAGGAATTTGTGAGGTTGATTTAAAATAACTTCTTAGTGCTTACCTTAATCAAAATACCTAGCTTTTGACAAATAATTTCAAATTCATAAGTATTCTTTAGCCTCATATTACAAGAAGTTAAGAGTGTTGTTTTTCCCTTTCAGTTTTAAGTTAAAAATAATAAAGTTCTAATGACTTTAAATCGTTTGTTTGAAATTTGTAGTTTCAAGACAGTCTTCCTTACTATTCTACGATGAAATAAAATAATTTTCTAAAGTTATAGGGTACCTCCTCAATATTTCACATCTACCAGCTTTTAACCACTCATACTTATATTTTATTTATTTATTTGTTTGGTAATTTATTTATCCATCCCCCATACTTCTTTTATTTATTTATTTTATTTTATTTTTTAATGTAGATAGTCTTTTTTTAAAATATATTTTATTGATTTTTTACAGAGAGGAAGGGAGAGGGATAGAAAGTTAGAAACATCCATGAGAGAGAAACATCAATCAGATGCCTCCTGCACATCCCCCACTGGGGATGTGCCCGCAGCCAAGGTACATGCCCTTGACCGGAATTGAACCCGGGACCCTTGAGTCTGCAGCCGATGTTCTATCGATTGAGCCAAACCGGTTTCGGCCCATATTTTTATTTTAGTTCTTCATGTACTACATTAAGTTCCTAAACTGATATTACTAGTAGAAATCTTGGTTATCTCCAATGAACATCCCTACTTTGTTTCCAATTATCTTTCATCTAGAGTTGTTTTCTTAAGTGTAAGAACTTCAGTTTATAATTTCACTAGAGGACTGGTGCATAAAATTCATGCATTTTGGGCTGGGGTGTCCCTCAGCCTGGCCTGCACCCTCTCCAATCTGGGACCCCTTGAGGGATGTCCAACTGCTGGTTTAGGACATTCCTCCCATAATCTGGGACTGCTGACTCCTAACCGCTCACCTGCCTGCCTGCCTGATTGCCCCTAACCACTCCCTGTCAGCCTTATTGACACCTAACTGCTCCCCTACTGGCCAGCTTGACCCCAGCTACCCTCCCCTGCCAGCCATCTTGTGGTGGCCATCGTGTTGTGGCCATCTTGTGACGATGTGGGGTGGGCCATCTTGTGATAATGTGAGGGCTTCACGTGAGGGCGTAAGGGCCACCTAGGCTTTTATTCGTATAGATTTCCCTCAGAATAAGTCCAGACTCATTAATTTGGTATATGAGCTCTCACGTGACTACTGCTCATCTGGTCTGCTTCACTTTTTATTAGTTCCTGGCCACATTGCAACCTCTCCAAGTTCTGCCCTAGCAAAATTAACTTGATTTGAAGGTTTCAAATGTTTTGTGTCCCTATGTCTTTTTTGTTCTTCAGGTCTCACTGATATATTATTCCCTTCTTAAGATCCTAAAACTATTAGTTGATTATAAAGTCTAGAGAAATATATTGTTTAAACATTTAATGTAATATAATATCAATATATCATTTGTGTATTTGAAAACATCGCCAGACTAGCTCTAAAATCATCTACTTCTAGAAGTAGTAATAAAACATAATAATCAGGTGGTGGTTGTTATTTTTTTACTTCTCTGCCTTGTGTACAAGCTCCTTAAAGACAAGAACTATGTTTTATTTTCTGTGATCAGCTTAATACTACAGAGTACAAAGTGGATGTTCAGTATGGATGTTCAAGCCTCCCAGAAACATAAGAATGTGTCTCTGTGGATGGTCTAATAGTTTTATTTCAACTTGATGGAAAACAGCTAATTCCAATCAGTTATAATAAAATGAAAGAAACTCAGCAACCCTGTATATATATATTGCCAAAGGAAAATGTATATGCCACCATGGTACACTTTCTCTCAATATCTCACACTGAGTCATTATGAACTTCTATGAGCTACTCCAATGAGTTTCATCATCCTCTTTTTGGTTGCTCATTCCACCGTTAGGAAATTCTTGTCTCTGTTGTCTTCTCTCAGATGGAGTTTCCTCTTAGCCTCCCAGGCCACAGATATCATCTCTCAAGAATCTTGGCGGGGTGCGGTTGGGGGAGGGGACTTCTTGGAAAGCCATTGTTTTCTGTGCTTCTATAAGCCCCTACCGCTTTGTGCTAAAGCAGTGATGAAACATTTTGCAGCTTCTCCCTTATTTTATTTATGTACTCTTTAGCCAATAAACTAGGCATTCCCTTTTCACAGGGCCATGTGGATGTCTCCTTTTAGTTAACCTTCAACCATAGACTTTAAAAGATGGAGAAGCATTCATTCCATTCCATAGAGAGGATAAACTGAAATCTCACCCTAAATAGGATGCTTTTCATATGTCTAGCAAAGAATAGAATGTTTCTATCTCCTTGGACTCATTTTTTTTTTTCATATCCAAAGACTAGAAGAGTATCTTATGTTTACTCTAATTGGCCTTTCTAGGAATTGGTCAGGAACCTTTAAAGTTCTTATGCTTTTTGGCCTATTCTCAGGTAAATTTTTTAAAGTTATTGCTTGTAAGCACAGGCTGTAGAATCCAAATTGTTTTTGGAATCCTGGCTTTCTGCTGAATATCTATGTGCCCTACAATAAGTTCCTTGACTTTTATGCTTCACAATTTCCTTATTTATAAAAAGAGAAAAACGTATTTTCTAAACTATGTTTTTTTTTTTATAAGGACTAAATGACACAATGTATATAGAGTGCTTGGCAGATTGCTTATACATGATAATGCCTCAATTATGCTTGGCAAGTTTGATTATGAAAATGATGGTCCTATGGCTCTGATTATCTTCATATATTTTCATTTATTCTGATATTCTTTCACATTTTCATGAAAATCACAGAAAGATTAATTAAATTCAGTCCCTGCTTTGAAGAACCTCCAGTTCTGGAGAGAAAATGGACAGTCAGTAAAATACAGGTTGATAGATTCCAGCTATGTTAGATGGTGAGAAAAATATTCCTGAGGAGTGGAATAGGAACATCTGATTCAGAGTCAGGAATAAAACAATGTCTATGAAACACTCAAGGTTCTGATTTACAACTAATAGGACGTGACTATGGTTAACTTAGGTAGATTTATAAAACATATTAGAGGGATATCAGGTAGCTCATGGAATCAGTTGAAAGGCCTGAAAGTCGGGTTAAAAATGAGTAGAAACTATCAAGGAAGACTGAGCTAGGCATTCAGAAACATATGCTACCAAATGAATCTTAATTGTGAACTGCTGCCATGGCCATGATACCCTGGTGCATTCAGAAGTATCATTGCCCCTGAATATTGTTTGCTACTATCACTGCAAAAATAAAAGTATTTAAATTATTATTTCTTTTTGAGAATTAAGATTTCTGAAAAAATCAATAAGGCAAAGAATGGATTTAAAAAATTTTTAATGTTGACATAATTGCAGGTGTTTCTTTTTCCCCGTCCTTTGCCCACTTCCACCAAACCCTGCCTCCTCCTCTTGGCCTTCACCAAATTATTGTTTGTGTCCATGGGATATGCATATATGTTCCTTATCTAATACCTTTGCCTTCTTTATATAGTCACCCCCATCAGTCTTTGTAGGCTATGTATTCTTTGTTACAACTACTCAACTCTACTGTTGTAGGGTGAAAGAAACCTTAGAAAATATATAGTGAATAGCCATGGTTTATTCTAATAAAACTGTATTTACAAAGACAGGTAGTGAGCCAGATTTTACTGTGGGACATAAGATACAGACTCCTTTTATCAGGCAAGTGTATGTCACATAACTTTAGCTTCTGTCAGGGATCAGGGAAAATAAATAGCTGGAATTTGGGCTCCATTGTCATGGTAGTCAGGGACTTGTTTCCAACCAAGTCCCATAGAACGGTAGATTATTGAATCCTAAGAAAGATTAGAAATTAGACATTCATAAATAGACAAATGTTTCCTATAGTTTTATGTTGGGCTCTCAACAAAAATACACTAATATATTTATTTTTATTTTTTTATCGTTGAGAGTATTATAAATGCTACTCCTTATTTTTCCTCATTGTCCCCCTCCACCCAGCTTCCACACCAGCCCAGGCCTTCACTACATTATTGTCTGTGTCCATGGGCAATGCATATTATGCATATAAATTCTTTGGTTAATCTCTGCCCCCCCCCAATCTCCTTTCCCTCTGAGATTCATCATTCTGTTCCATGCTTCCATGCCTCTAGGTCTATTTTGTTTGTCAGTTTATTTTTGATCATTAGATTCAATTTATAAGTGATATCATGTGATACTTGTTTTTCTCTGTCTTGCTTACTTTGCTTAGCATAATAATCTCCAGGTCACTCATGCTATCTTTTTTAACAGGTGTATAGTATTCCATTATGTATGGTGTAAGGAGGTGATCTAGTTTCTTTTTTGTATATATTTGTCCAGTTTTCATTTATTGAGAAACTGTATTGACTTCATTGCATGTTCTTTCTTCCTTTGTCAAATATTAATGGACCATAAAGATGTGGGTTGATTTCTGGGGTCTCTGTTCTGCTCCATTTATCT